TCGCGGTCCATATCACTCCGCTATTTTTCCTCGGCAAGAAATGTGCTCCGCGTTTTGAGAATATAGTTCCATATGTTTTTGTAATTTGAAGTGGTTTCCGCGCCTAAAGAAAAATGCTTAAAAGGTATTTTCTTGTTTATTAAGATCGTAGGAAGGTTTTAAAAACGTTTAAAAGAAAAGTCCAGAAAGTTCAGAAATACCGAAACTATAAACACGAAATGGCAGGTTAAATCGTAGTTATAATAGTCAATCAGCTGCTCATAGTATAATTATCTTTAAGTGTTGCCAACCTATTTCCAAGCGTAAAAGGATTACGTGCATAATGGAACCACGCTGTTTTGTGTTGTTTCGTTGGAATCCTGATATGCGGCAAAGTATAAACCGTACGGCAAAGTATAAACCGTACGGCAAAGTATAAATATGCAGCAATTAGCAGCTTTCTGTACTATAAACAGTACAAGGAAGCCAACTTTGTCGGGTGACTGTAGGAAAAATATTTTTCATTATCCATTTCACTCATCTTCTAACAGTAACGTTCATTTACAAACAAACGCTAGGTTAGGAAAATACTTTAAAGCATAACAATAACATTCAAGCTTCTCGAGTGATGTAAAGCTGAAAAAAAACTCACTCGGTGATGTAATGAAACCCATTTAAATAACATTGAGTGCTTAACTTAAAAATTATACCTCTATGGAGCCAACGACGTTCAACGCTAGAAATCAGCTGTTCGCTTGAATGTTATTGTTATGCTTTAAAGTATTTTCCTAACCTAGCGTTTGTTTGTAAATGAACGTTAGGCGGGTTACACACCGGAGTCGCGGATATTATGTCGCCGATATTTCTGATGTCGCGGACATGATGTCTGCGACACGTAATAAAATGCAACCATGGGAGAAGGGACACGTGCTGGCGACATGAGAGGGAATCAGTTCAGTTTTTCATCAGTTTTAATAATGTCATCCTCTGAAGAAGATGGTGTGTTGTTGCTGCTGATGCTACGGAGACGAAGACGACGACGAACAGTAAATGTGAGAAGAGAGTTCTGGACCAATCCTTATTGGAAGGATAATCAGTTGTCCAGTCAATTCACATTGACTCTAGTATAATATAACCACCACTCGAGTAAACCCACCACTCAACTCACAAAACAAAACAGAAGTACCAAGACCAAGTGACAGCGCCGAAACTACTAGAAACGTGTTATGCGCATGCGCGGGCCCAAGAGACACGAGACATGTCTGTCCAAACACCGACCGGTTGGTTCGCTCGAGACACGCGTCTGCGACACGAGTCGCAGACAACGTGTCCGCGACACTGGTGTGTAAAGCTCCATAAGATAACATAGGTTGGTTTTCGAGGGGCATGTCGCGGACACGAAAAATATCGGCGACATCATATCCGCGACACCGGTGTGTAACCCGCCTTTACTATTAGAAGATGAGTGAAATGGATAATGAAAAATATTGTTCGTAACCTCCTGTATATTGTCGGGTCAGGTAAAATCTTGTACATTACACGTTACGCAAGTGTGTGATGTAAAAACGCTCTTACTACACTTGTAAGGTAAATAGCTATTACATAGCTAAATTTAAGTCTAGTAGCCTAATAATATGTACTAAAATACGTAGATTTAGGATAATGAGGGTTAAAAAAAACGAATCGTGGTTTCGATTGAATATTAAAAAAACATGCAGTCTAGGTAGGCCTGCAATATACCTATTCCCCTCCAGGATATCGATGGGAGACAACGTAATTAGCACTTTAAATGACAATAACAGTTTTATTAATTAGTGGGTTACTTTTGTGAGCTTATTATAATGGTAATAAATATTTATGAGATGTATTAGTCCATTGGGTTTTTAAAAGAAAAGACTAAAAGGAACACTTATACAAATAATCTGTATAAAATGTGAAAGGTACACAGATGTTGTCGTGTAACGGAGATTAATTCTTTTCATTACTACGTCGGTTTTTGATGAATGCGAGTTTTCTAGCTTAGCAACGAATTCAGAAACAAATTAAACATTACATTCTGCTTGACATTTTGAGATGCGAGCTTAACCAAGTATGAAGTTTTTTTTATTTCAATATTAAAAGCTCCATTGAGTACAGTATAATTTGACATAAAGAAGAATGGACCAAAGACTCACAAACTTTGCCTGATAAATTAAGAGTGTTCATTACCGCCATGTTATACCATGTTTTTAAAGTTTAAACTAGTCCTTCCAAACCTAACGTGAATCCATATAATATCCATTTAAATGTATACCAATATTTGAGGGAAGAGTAACAATTCCATGAACTATTGCTGCTTTGCATGTACTACAAATTATTTCAAAAATTCTTCCATACATTATTCGTAAAATATACACAAGAGTTCACTAAATAATTTTCTTTGTAGAATTACAAATTATTAATTTAAACGAAGCTAAATTCGGTTACTTTAATACACTATTACTTTACAAACATAATAATACGATAGTAAGTAGACTTTTAAAAAGCAAACACGTAGGCCAAGACAAGTAAATTCAGCAGCTAAATCATTTTATTGGGCCAGCCAGGTCAATACAAATATACTATACTATACATCAATTACTAATTCTAATATTTACAATAATGAGGATAATAATGACTATCGCATTGTCTCTAACCTAAAGCTTGTCATAGACGTACAGTAGTAACTTACCCTTCTTTGCTTATAAAGTTTTATAAAGCTTTTAGGTAGCCAGCGCAAGCAATTAGGTCCTGTGTTATTCTTATGAAAAAAAAAGAATCTTGTAAAACAAAATATTAAATTACCAATCACAAGTCCAGGGGATTTAAAGCTTGTAACTACAGTCATCAAAACAACCTGTGTTGTAGTATAAACTATACTAATATATAAATACCCCCGCCGCAGCAAACCTGCAGACTAAGCGAATTTCCATTTGACTGAATGGATTTACACTGAAATGTCTACTTAAAAATATAACATTTATCCTCGATTTAAATAGAATTGGTTTAACAAGTACTTAGATTTGCTGCATCAGGGAGGGGAAAACGGGTTTTTTTTTTGTAAAATGCTAATAGTTAGTAAGAAATAAAAACATTTTCCAAATTTGATCAAAATATGTTTCTAAACAAGCAAACTACAACAGTTTACTTATTCTCCATAAGAATAACATCAAGAACAACAATTTAAATTTACAATTTTTTGGAATTGTCTCCGTAACCATTAGGCGCATAACAACGCTTCAATATACTAAATTATTTGTTTTTTTAAGCTCTACAACATGGTTTGGAAATAAATTGCTAAATTTTATGTTTTTTGGGTCAAAAATGGGGAAAACCTATTTTTACCCCATAAAAACCCCCCCGTAAACCATCGTTGCCATGGTCCGATCATGCTGCATCGCGAACTCGTTCGAATAAACGTAGGTTTACACGTTTGTACCAAATTTCATCAAAATCGGATCATTTTTGCTCGAGTTATCGTGCTAACGGACACACACACACACACACACATAATATGTAAAAAATATATATATGTGAATATATATATATATATTTATTTATTTATACATATATATTATATATATATGAATTTGAATGGATGGTGTTTTTGGCCTCTAGGGACCTCAAAACGAAAAAAAAATCGGTCCCGCGTCCAGGTCTTACTATGAGTAATTCGGTAATAGCTTATTCCCTATATGGGAAATTCGCTAAAATGAGATGGTGTGTGTTTGTGTGTGTGTCTGTCTGTTACTTTATAACGCAAGAATCACAGAACCGATTGAAATAAAATTGTGTATGAAGGTAGCTTATATCCCTGGTTAACATATAGGCCTATCCCTGTTATTATATATTTACCTTGGGCTACGCCCCATGGGATTCCAAAGTTTCAATGTTTACATTTTGGAAGAATGTAAATAGTAAAAAATATTAGCCTAATTGAAGTCAGCTGTAAACACTATAATTTGACAGTTCAAACAGCAGAGGTTAAGGGGTACAGGTTATGCTCCCAAGATTCTAAAGTTGTATGATAATGAGAAGAGTTTGATTAAAATATTTATAAAAATATACTTATTTTAATGGAAACTGAAGGATTATTACAATGTATACATTTTTTGGAATAATTTTGATGTGGTAGCTTTTTGTTTACAAATTTGAGCTGATAAACAAAATCAGTTGTTTGGATCAGGATTAATAGGTTTTAAAAACTAACAGATGTAGGCCTATGTACTGGTAGAGTTTTAAAAATTTAACTGACTCAAAAATGTTTGCACTTTTATTTGTATTTTAATTCAATTTACAAACTAAATTTCAACTATAGGCCTACCTAATTTTATTCCGTCCAGAGGTAACTACTACTTATATTTTCTTCTATCGTCTACTTCACATTCGCTTTTTTACATTTACAGAAATCTCCTTAGTAGTTGTGTTTTTACAACACTGCTTTAATTTCAATAGGTGGCGTCCCCATCTCAATGATTGATAATTGATAATTGAATTGATAACTATGGAGAATATCACAAAACTAAGCTGCACGCATTTCACTTTTGTTTCTAAAATCAATTAAATATCTGTAACGCAACTATGTTTCTTTACTCAATGCTTTAAATAATGATGTAAAATGCAAATACATACACGTTTTGAACTATGGAACGATTAAAAATAATAACTGTTATGTATTATGTTGTTGATTTATATTTAAATTAATGAAATTTGTGCCCTGATTAACAATAATAGTGGTTGGATTTCTAACACAAGGTAATACAAGTTTTCCATTAGTTTATTTTTGCTTATTATTGTGATATATACACACTGATCTGCAGGTAAAGATTGAACTTTAAACAAATCTCAGTAGCTACGGTAAAACATATCAATTATAAGAGAAATCAATATAAACTGTTTTTTTTTCTTTACTACGGTGAGCTTTATGTTGTACGATTATTTTTCCTTAGCACGGGTACAACAGCTAGTGATATATATAATAATAAGAAAACAACTGCACTCACCTCATTTATGTAATAATCCAAACTAGAGTTATAGTTTTCCGTCATTCTTCTGCGATTTTAATCTTGCACATTAAAATAGCTCGTGCGAATTTAAGGTAGATAACTTGTCATTGAACAAATTTGCCATTGTCCTTTAATAGAAAACAGATAAGATTAACCCAGTTAATGAGTGATTTCCATGTAGTCGAAAATGTCTTCCTATGAAACATTGTACAGTAGAGTGGGACTTAACCTCTCTAATTTATATTGCAAGTTGCTATCCTTAAAGTAAAATCTTCTCCAAAGTAATATATGAAAATATGTACATTTAACTACAATAAATTTTACTAAAGTATACAGTGTAAACTATTGGGTGTAAAATTAAATTTGGTTTCTTAGTATAGTAACAGCTTACATTGATATTCATTCTAGTATTGAATAAACAATTAAGAACCACTTACTGTATATGGCTGTTTATATGTGAGTTGGTGACAAGTTAGTTACTTTCAATTTTGTTGTAAGGGTATTCTCAAATACTTTCCCTCCTAATATACAAAATATTTATTTCGCAAGAGAGTCGCCACTTGCTTGGTTCTGCGTCAAAGAGTTATTCTCATACTAATGATGCATAATGCAACTAACCAGGTGTTGACGAAAGCATCAAACACATGATATGGACATTTCAAGTAGTAGGCCTACTACTTGAAATGTCGTAAGGTGTAATGTTTGTAACTAATCTTACCCTGTAGAGCGCCACTTCTACAGAATCTGGCCAGTACTTGGAGAGTTTATGTTTTACAATTTAAGTATGATGGATTATTTGTTTTCATTTTGTTGTAATACTATTAAGCATTCTTAACTTATCCTACTATAAATATCACTCGGTATAGCACTGTTTGACATCTTAAAGAACAGGCCTAACGAATGAAATTAGGTAACAATGGATTATTAATGTTATAGTTGTAAAGTTATGTTGAAAGACGTATCCTTAATGCAAAAATGTATGGTATTATAATCATATTTCGTAATTCAAATTTGAAAACTATTTAGTAATTAATTTTTATTGTTTACATTTTTCTATCGTGCATTCAATTTACATCAAATGTCTTATGTTTTCTTAAAAGTTATAAATTTCAATTAGATGACAATAATTGGCAATATTAGGAAATTTATTTATTATAGTCTCAGGTAAAATATTAAGTGTAAATTAATAATTTTATAAGGAATTCGCAATTTCTCTCACTAAATCGCTGTAGCCCCTTCAACCAGTTGAGCAAATTTTATTATAGACTAAATATATACCAGTATTATATTGATAATTATATCATAAGATAAAACATTATCAAAAAATATATATTAACAAACACGCGAACGGATGCGACCATTACTACACACGGTACAATTCACATGGCGGAGCTACATAGACTGGCGTAAAATAGCGTCCCGACAGCACCGACCCACCCCCACCTCCCCTGGTGTGATGTGGTCAGGCTCCTCACTGACCTCCTACCACAGTGTAGACCTGTGGTACAGTTCACATGTCGGAGCTACATAGACTGGCGTAAAGTAGCGTCCTGACAGCACCGACCCACCTCCACCTCCCGTGGTGTGATGTGGTCAGGCTCTTCACTGACCTCCTACCACAGTGTAGACCTGCAGTACAGTTCACATGGCGGAGCTACATAGACTGGCGTAAAGTAGCGTCCCGACAGCACCGACCCACCCCCACCTCCCGTGGTGTGATGTGGTCAGGCTCCTCACTGACCTCCTACCACAGTGTAGACCTGCAGTACAGTTCACATGGCGGAGCTACATAGACTGGGACTGGCGTAAAGTAGAGTCCTGACAGCACCGACCCACCCCCACCTCCCCTGGTGTGATGTGGTCAGGCTCCTCACTGACCTCCTACCACAGTGTAGACCTGTGGTACAGTTCACATGTCGGAGCTACATAGACTGGCGTAAAGTAGCGTCCTGAAAGCACCAACCCACCCCCACCTCCCCTGGTGTGATGTGGTCAGGCTCCTCACTGACCTCCTACCACAGTGTAGACCTGTGGTACAGTTCACATGTCGGAGCTACATAGACTGGCGTAAAGTAGCGTCCCAACAGCACCGACCCACCCCCACCTCCCGTGGTGTGATGTGGTCAGGCTCCTCACTGACCTCCTACCACAGTGTAGACCTGTGGTACAGTTCACATGTCGGAGCTACATAGACTGGCGTTAAGTAGCGTCTTGACAGCACCGACCCACCCCCACCTCCCGTGGTGTGATGTGGTCAGGCTCCTCACTGACCTCCTACCACAGTGTAGACCTGTGGTACAGTTCACATGGCGGAGCTACATAGACTGGCGTTAAGTAGCGTCTTGACAGCACCGACCCACCCCCACCTCCCGTGGTGTGATGTGGTCAGGCTCCTCACTGACCTCTTACCACAGTGTAGAACTGCGGTACAGTTCACATGTCGGAGCTACATAGACTGGCGTAAAATAGCGTCCTGATAGCACCGACCCACCCCCACCTCCCGTGGTGTGATGTGGTCAGGCTCCTCACTGACCTCGTACCACAGTGTAGACCTGCAGTACAATTCACATGGCGGAGCTACATAGACTGGCGTTAAGTAGCGTCCCGACAGCACCGACCCACCCCCACCTCCCCTGGTGTCATGTGGTCAGGCTCCTCACTGACCTCGTACCACAGTGTAGACCTGCGGTACAGTTCACATGGCGGAGCTAAATAAACTGGCGTTAAGTAGCGTCCCGACAGCACCGACCTAAGCCCACCTCCCCTGGTGTGATGTGGTCAGGCTCCTCACTGACCTCTTACCACAGTGTAGACCTGCGGTACAGTTCACATGGCGGAGCTAAATAAACTGGCGTTAAGTAGCGTCCTGACAGCACCGACCCACCTCCACCTCCCGTGGTGTGATGTGGTCAGGCTCCTCACTGACCTCCTACCACAGTGTAGACCTGTGGTACAGTTCACATGGCGGAGCTACATAGACTGGCGTAAAGTAGAGTCCTGCCAGCACCGACCCACCCCCACCTCCCGTGGTGTGATGTCAGGCTCCTCACTGACCTCCTACCACAGTGTAGACCTGCGGTACAGATCACATGGCGGAGCTACATAGACTAGCGTTAAGTAGCGTCCTGACAGCACCGACCCACCTCCACCTCCCGTGGTGTGATGTGGTCAGGCTCCTCACTGACCTCCTACCACAGTGTAGACCTGTGGTACAGTTCACATGGCGGAGCTACATAGACTGGCGTAAAGTAGAGTCCTGGCAGCGCCGACCCACCCCCACCTCCCCTGGTGTGATGTGGTCAGGCTCCTCACTGACCTTCTACCACAGTGTAGACCTGATGTACAGTTCACATGGCGGAGCTACATAGACTGGCGTAAATTAGCGTCCTGACAGCACCGACCCACCTCCACCTCCCGTGGTGTGATGTGGTCAGGCTCCTCACTGACCTTCTACCACAGTGTAGACCTGCTGTACAGTTCACATGGCGGAGCTACATAGACTGGCGTAAAGTAGCGTCCTGACAGCACCGACCCACCCCCACCTCCCGTGGTGTGATGTGGTCAGGCTCCTCACTGACCTCCTACCACGGTGTAGACCTGCGGTACGGATCACATGGCGGAGCTACATAGACTGGCGTAAGGTAGAGTCCTGACAGCACCGACCCACCCCCACCTCCCGTGGTGTGATGTGGTGAGGCTCCTCACTGACCTCCTACCACAGTGTAGACCTGCAGTACAGTTCTCATGGCGGAGCTACATAGACTAGCGTTAAGTATCGTCCTGACGCTGACAGCACCGACCCACCCCCACCTCCCGTGGTGTGATGTGGTGAGGCTCCTCAATAACCTCTTACCACAGTGTAGACCTGCGGTACAAAGCACATGACGGAGCTACATAGACTGGCGTAAAGTAGAGTCCTGACAGCACCGACCCACCCCCACCTTCCGTGGTGTGATGTGGTCAGGCTCCTCACTGACCTCCTACCACAGTGTAGACCTGCAGTACAGTTCACATGGCGGAGCTACATAGACTGGGACTGGCGTAAAGTAGAGTCCTGACAGCACCGACCCACCCCCACCTCCCCGGGTGTGATGTGGTCAGGCTCCTTACTGACCTCCTACCACAGTGTAGACCTGCGGTACAGATCACATGGCGGAGCTACATAGACTGGCGTAAAGTAGAGTCCAGACCGCACCGAACCACCCCCACCTTCCGTGGTGTGATGTGGTCAGGCTCCTCACTGACCTCCTACCACAGTGTAGACCTGTGGTACAGATCACATGGCGGAGCTACATAGACTGGCGTTAAGTAGAGTCCTGACCGCACCGAACCACCCCCAACCTTCCGTGGTGTGATGTGGTCAGGCTCCTCACTGACCTCCTACCACAGTGTAGACCTGCGGTACAGATCACATGACATAGCTACATAGACTGGCGTAAAGTAGAGTCCTGACCGCACCGAACCACCCCCACCACCCGTGTTGTGATGTGGTCAGGCTCCTCACTGACCACCTACCACAGTGTAGACCTGCAGTACAGTTCACATGGCGGAGCTACATAGACTGGCGTTACTGCAACTAGCGTCCTGACAGCACCGACCCACCCCCACCTCCCGTGGTTTGATGTGGTCAGGCTCCTCACTGACCTCCTACCACAGTGTAGACCTGCAGTACAGTTCACATGGCGGAGCTACATAGACTGGCGTTACTGTAAGTAGCGTCCTGACAGCACCGACCCACCCCCACCTCCCGTGGTTTGATGTGGTCAGGCTCCTCACTGACCTCCTACAACAGTGTAGACCTGCGGTACAAATCACATGCCGGAGCTACATAGACTGGCGTTAAGTAGCGTCCTGACAGCACCGACCCACCCCCACCTCCAGTGTTTATGTGGTCAGGCTCCTCACTGACCTCGTACCACAGTGTAGACCTTCGGTACAAATCACATGGCGGAGCTACATAGACTGGCGTAAAGTAGAGTCCTGACAGCACCAACCCAACCCCACCTCCCGTGGTCTGATGTGGTCAGGCTCCTCACTGACCTCGTACCACAGTGTAGACCTGCAGTACAGTTCACATGGCGGAGCTACATAGACTGGCGTAAAGTAGCGTCCTGACAGCACCGACCCACCTCCACCTCCCGTGGTATAATGTGGTCAGGCTCCTCACTGACCTCTCACCACAGTTTAGGCCTGGGGTATAGTTCTTATGGTGGAGTTTTACAATTAATTTTTAGTTTTTGTGTAAAAAGCTAAAAATGAGTATTTTTGAGGTGTTAAAAATTATTTCTGACAAGTCCGCAGCAAATCTGCACAAATAAAATTATTTTGTTCGGGCGCCGTTAAACCAGTTCTCAGCACCACTGCCAACCTCAGTCCCTGTTCGGGCGCCATCTTGCGACGCTACTTTCTCGCACTGGAAAAATAATACAAGTAAGTGCAGTCGCAAACGTTTGCCGGGGATAGCTCGGCCTACAATGGCTGGGTAAAGTTCCAGGGTCTGCGACAAGGTCAGGGAAACCACTAGGCCAAAAGCCGGGTCTAACCGGTATAGGACTGGCTCATACACGGGCACTGTGAACAAGTCAAAAACAAGTCACCAAAACAAACGTGCAATAATCACCACCAGGCTTACGCCGATTCTCCACTCTCCTAGGGGGTCGTTGCTGACTACGCAACTCGGGCTTTGTCCTAACTATCCAATAGTTAAGCCCAGAGTGCCTAAAACACAGTGAGTTACACGACGACTTGCCAAGAAAAACCACAACGCGAGTTATCACCAGGCGGGGTCTACTAGGCCACTATAATCCAATACAAAATTCTCATGCCCAAGCTAACCACCATAACAGTTCACTCAATAATAATACCATATAATAATATACAAGTATACTATATGCAGAGTGACTACACCTCTAGTAGCTGGTCTCGATAAATACCAAGCTAAACTCGATGTCAATTGCACTACTATTAAATTATTGAGCTACTTAGTAGCAGATAAACAAATATTAAATACGTTCCAAACACTAGATAATTATATTATCTGATAGCCGGTACTCCGCTATCCAAGCTACCAAGATAACGTGTTGGATTACTAAACAAGCTGTTCAGGTTAAATTAAAATAATCAAATGATTAAACAATAACAACCCTACTACTGCTACTGCTACTGCTACTACCAACTTTATATTACTTAGCTGGGCTTCTGAATAGGCTAATAATATTAGCTACTAGCCTATTGGCCACGTGCTTCCAACTACGCACTCTAAATCGTGCAGCCTAGGTTTGTCGGGCCTCAGAGTTATTAGTAATGTAAAACTAACTCTTGGTACAACGCAAAATAATATCTACTACATTCAATAAAA